ACCAGCAATGTCAACGGCTACTCTTTCGATTGGTGTGCCAATTTGATATAACTTCATTGGGGCACGTCTCCTAAGCTTTTGTCCTCTTTTTGCATAACATTCTTCTGCACCATTCTTCCACATCTTGCCTCATAGCTATCCAGTAAAATATCTGTCGTAGGTGACTCAATGTCTTCTTAACTCCGAGATGTCCTCCTGTTAAATTATCATGGGACTGATGCAGCACAACTTCCAGTAACTTTCTCGGTATAACCGTTTGCCAGGTCGTCACTTTCCCATCTGCAGTTTCTCATTTCCAGAGAAGAATACCATCTTCAACCTTCAACTGGTCCCATTGTGCCCAATAGTTCTTTGTCACAGGGCTTAGGCTAGACACCTTCTCCCAAGCAGGGCACAAAACACTTGCTTTTAAAATATCAATTATTGGTTTCAAATCTTGGTATTTCTCCTGCTCTGCTCTGATGGTGGTTCCACTTCACCATCATCAACTCCTTCAGTCACTTTAACTTCAGCTTGATGATACCTAGTTAGCTCAACCTCTTATTTGCAGCAATGTCTGCAGTCATTTTTTGCAGGATCTTCGGCTCAGTCCATCGGCATTTCCATGAGACTTTCCTTCTCTGTATTCAATATCATAATTATACTGGTCTATCTTTCCAATTCAACGTGCCAGTTGTCCCTCTGGGTTCTTTAATGATCTTAACCAGCATAATGTAGCATGGTCTGTCCTGATGGTAAATCTAGCCCCATAGAGGTAAGGATGCAAATATGTCAGACTCTTTACTATAGCAAAGAGTTCCCTCCGTGTTACACAGTAGTTCCTCTCTGGTCTACTGAAAACCCTAGTGAAGTAGGCCACCACATATTCGTTTTTGCCATTTTCTGAGACAACACTCCTCCAGTTCCGACATTACTAGCATCGCAATCCAGTATGTACGGCAGTGAAAGATCTGGAAGCTTTAAAAGTGGAGATGAGGCCAATTTTTCTTTCAATGTCTTGAAAGCATACTAGCAAGAAACTGTCCATTCGAACGTCTGGCCTTTTTTGTAAAATCATGTAGTGGAGCAGCTATAGATGTAAAGTCCCAAGAAACTTCTTAACTCTCCCACATTATCTAGTGTAGGACAATCACGCACTGCTTTCACCTTGTCAGGATCAGTGTGCACACAATGTGACCCAAGTAAAGCATCTCTTTCTGGAACAAGTGGCATTTCTTGGGATGAAGTTTGAGGTTTGCTGCTTTCAAATGCTTGAATATTTCCTCTAGCCGGGATATTTCTTCTTCAAACGTTGTTGCAAACACAGTGACCTCATCCAGGTACAATAGGGCTAATCTCCATTGTAGGCCTTCCAGTACTCTTTCCATCAGCCTCTCAAATGTTGCTAAGCCCGAATGGCATCACACGGTACTGCCAGAGACCTTGGCCATAACTAAATGCAGTCTTAGGTTTATCTGATTCAGCCATTTTCACTGGATGGAAACCTGACTTTTAGTACAAAGTTGAAAACCACCTGGCTCCACTTATGGCATCAAGAATATCATCAATTCTTGGCAGTGGGTATGAGTCTTTTTCGGTTATAGTGTTAAGAGCCCTGAAGACCACACAGCAATGCTGGGTCCCATCCTTCTTCTGGACTAATATGACAGGAGCTGACCAGGGACTATCTGATTTTTCGACTATCACTTCCTTAGTTAGGTCATGCATGACCTTCTCCATCTCTTGTTGCTTTGCCAGAGCTATTCTTCTTGGAGGGAGCTTTATTGGACGGTGATTGCCTCTGTTTATTCTGTGCTCCACAAGATCTGTGCAGCTGAGGTCAGGATATACTTTTGAAAAGATGTCTGCATAATTCGCTAAATGTGCTCTAGCCTGAAGAGCCTGTGATGATGACAAATGGACTATACTCTTCTTATAGAGGTCAGTTAAATGTTCTGGGAGAGGACGTCCTTTCTTTATGGTTGTATTTCTTGTCTTAACATTGACTGGCCCTACCTCCTGGCACACACCCAACAATGCCCTTCCTTAAGTGTCTGCTCACATTTAGAGAAATTTGCCACCATTATGGGTACTAGTTGATGACTTGCCACAAGTGACCTTCCAATCTTCACATCTTCTGGCCTGGATGGGCCTTCCACTGCTTCCACAAGCATTGAGCTTTGTTGGGGACGTTCTTTTATTCTACCGCATATTATCTTCTCTGACATAGGGGGTATTGTAGTTGACTTAAGTGATGTGACATGCAAATCAACAGATGCAGCAACACTTACCTGAATTTGCCCTTTGTTGTTCCCAAACGTCATTTCATCGAAGTTAACTACACACTTTCTCAGTAGTAAGTAGTCCAAACCTAATATGCATTGGTCTTCAATGTCAGCCAAGTATACTTTCTGTCTGTCCTTC